GAAATTAAGAAGCACACGTTTCGTATGAAGATATGCATTAGGAACTTAGGCTAATTTTCTTTTCTTTTTTTTTTTTTTTTTTTTTTGAGAAGGAGTTTCGCTCTTGTTACCCAGGCTGGAGTGCAATGGCGCGATCTCGGCTCACCGCAACCTCCGCCTCCCGGGTTCAGGCAATTCTCCTGCCCCAGCCTCCTGAGTCACTGGGATTACAGGCACGCGCCACCATGCCCAGCTAATTTTTTTGTATTTTTAGTAGAGACGGGGTTTCACCATGTTGACCAGGATGGTCTCGATCTCTTGACCTCGTGATCCACCCGCCTCGGCCTCCCACAGTGCTGGGATTACAAGCTTGGGCCACCGCGCCCGGCCCTTAGGCTAATTTTCAACCGTAATTTTTCCCTGTGAGTGCAAAACTTGTAAGGCAAGGCAGATCAAGTCAGTGGCCCGCGTGGTAAAGCTTCCTAACTTAGGAATACAGTTCGGCACTAAAATCTCAAGCAATCTAGATATGAAGAGGATATTTTACTACTTAGAGATGAAGCTATATCACCAAAGGATTCCTTTCTCATTTTCTCACCAGAATCCTCCCCATTGACCAACATAAAGCACTTATGGGATGGCCAGCTAAGGTTACGGCTCTCTGGATATGCCGTAGTCCTCTGGGTCAAACTAATTGACCAGGCTCAGGGTGAAACTCTTGACCTGGTCCTAATTTAGCCCCTAAGGAAACTAAGCTAAATCAACCACATATCAGATTTTACATGTAAGGCTGATCTAAGAATGGCTATGAAATGTTTTTTCCAATAGCAAGGACCCTGAAGAAAATCAAACAAAAGCTTGACAGGGAAAGAAAAGTCAAGAAATACAGAACCAACAGGAAAAAGGAAAGGAAACTAAAACAACGTTAATATGTCGTTTACAACCTAACTGAGTCAGAACTACCCCATCACACAGAAAGGCACTTAGCCACGATTCCCTTTTACACAGCTACTCTATGCCCTTCATCCACAAGCATTGCATCATACCCTTTAATTCAGAATTATAAATAATTATAACATTATTTATCTTCATAATCACCAGGCATATAACATATGGCAAAGGCAACACTGGTCTGGGTAAGATGCATTTCCTCTCTCCTCCTATTGCAAAAATCCCAGTCAGGCCTGAATTTTCCTGGGCTCTCTCTCCTTGATTCCCCAAAGGGGTCGGATACCTTCATATGACCTCCAGGCCTGCACGCAATCCTGCAGAAAAGATTTAACCAATTCTTTGCCATCCTGTTTCAAGAATACATGCTGCATACCTGCCCTTTCTTCTAACATGGTTCTAACATTGTTCCTTTCTTCTAACATCCCTCCCGCTGGGAAGTTGATATGAAGATCAATGATTAAATGTTTGTCAAATACTCTAGGCTTCTCAGATGAAAGACAACATTAAAGCTCAAGTAACCAGGGCTGGCATTACACTAGAAGTGTTGCAGTTTACTCTTTATATTTGGGCTTCAAAAAGCGAAATCAAGGGTACGAAAATTCATCAGCTAGCTTTTGTACTCTTGTTAAAGGCAGACAGTTATCCTCACATTCTTTAACTAGATGTCCACATTAGAAATACAAGGATCCTTATATAAAACACTGGACCATGATTACAGTAAGAAGTATACAGGGAAAACGATCTTTGTCTCTGCCCTTCTAATCTCTAAGTGCCTTTCCCTCCTCAAACTTCTCCACTGCCTGGTCCCCCACCTCTCCATTTCCTCTTGTAGGAGGGGCGACATGGCAGCTGCCAGCCAACATGTTTGTTTTGAGCCAAAAGTCTGAAGAAAAAAAAAAAGTCAAAGACAAAGCTTTATGTGTATGTTGGCACACATGTGAATTCAGGCTGCTGAAAAAAATAACACACAAAGAGCACATTCATGGCCACAAACAAGTCCCTGAACACATAAATAGCCATCCTTGATCCGTTCTGTGTGAGGTGCTGTTATACAGCATGACAGGAATTCTCCATACACATCCTGACAGGCTAAATATTACCAGATCCATTTTGCAGATGAAGAAACTGAGGCTCAAAAGGCTATGAAGTTCATCCAACATCACACAGCTACAAAATGGCCGACCTGGAATTCCAACCTAGCTATATTTCAAACTCCCAAACCTGGACCCCCTGGCTCCAGCACAATGACAACTAGGAAAAGCTACAGAACTTGCCACACATACCCCTTGGACCACTCTATAAGGCCTCTGTGGGACGCAGACAGGGGAAGTGTAAATTAAATCCATTTAAATCAGTAAGGGGAGATCCTAAAGCGTATTTTAGACATTGACTTGAACCTCCTCCCTACCTAAACTTTAGTGTTTTCCCTCATTCCTTAATTGGCTAATTAAGTATTTCATCTTATCTCTTTCTCATGCCTTACCTGTAACAAAGCTCACAGCACTATTCTGAGGTTTAAAATGAATTTTTTAAAAACACAGCTTTTGGTGACTAAGTACTGAAGCTCAAATGCAAGAATTTGATGAACTCCTTATTCAAAAACAAGAATATGAAACCCAGGTGGGCTATACTGTGCAATCAAAGGGTTGATGTTTGCTCCCGTGGAGCAAATTTAAACCTCTAATAAGGAAGGCAGGCACTGGAAAATTTAAAAACCCTCTAGTTCTTGACATTTAGCTCATCCATTCAGGGCAAACAAGAATTAGTCTTAAAATTGTTTATTTTTCTCTGAATTCCTTATGGTTCTTCCATATTAAAAGTCTAACTGTCCTTTCTATTACAGCCACCAGCGTGACCCAGTATGCACAAATCTGAATAACTCAAGTATTAATAATAATTACATGTTTAAGCTAATGATGGAAATTGCGTAAATGCCTGGGATTAGCAGAAAAGGGCTTCTCTTCAGCCATCTCTCTCATGCAGGTCCCTACACCTTCAGAAAAAACGTCTGTCAAGGGTCTGTTCTTGAGATAAGATGCTGGTAGAGGGGCTTGGATAAACACCCAAAGTGGTAGGAAGTCAGTGTGTTCTTCCCACTCTGATGTCCTGGCCTGAGGTCACCAAAAGCTGGATGTCTGCCACCTCTGCCAGGACGCAGCCACTATGAACAATACTACAACACCACTTCAGTCCAGTGAAGAGGCACCCTTGAAAGGCAAACCACGTACAGAATGCTACTGCATTGTAAGAGACTTTCCTAGGCAGGACTGGCTGAACCCTGGGCCATTAGGCTACAAAAATCTAAAAGTAGATACAGCGTTTTCTGTTTTCCTAAAGTTTCAGAGAAAGAACAACAGACCTTACAACTGTACTAAAGCAATGGTTCTGAAGCAAAAGTAAAGTATAACAAACTTAGTGACATACAGATGAACTAATTTTGCATCTCATGCCACCCATGCAGACTGGGCAAAAGGGTATCATGCCATTCAGCTCCCACTCATTAACCCCATCACCAAACAATAAGGTAATTATAATACAAGGTCTGTAGTGCTGTGGTATTATCACACCTGCTGCTGTCAGGCAGCCTTTTAAAAAAAGGAATCATTGGTTGAACGTGGGGGAAAAAGCAATCAATACCATTTTAATGAAACTGAGCGTGGGCCAATTAAAATTTACAACAGCTGCGTGGAGGTGTAAAAAGAGGGAGATCTTGGCTCCTCGCTGGAAACTACCTGTGGTTCCTGTAAGTGGCTAACATGCTTCCAGATTAATTTCTGATATTGGGGGTGGAGAAAATGCTATCCCAGCAACACTATACCAACATGGCCATAAATCCCCCTCAGGCCCCCAGGTAGCCAGGAAAACTTTCCGTCCTTCTTGTGTTCACTCTGCACCAGCTGTTTCCTCTGCCTGGAATACACCCTTCAGGTGAGCACCACCTCCATCCTCTAAGTCCAGTGCACACCTCACCAGGACAAAGCTCGCCTCAGACTCACAGAACCCCCCTTCCATGCATTATAATTCAGCCTTGAGGTTTCCTCCACGAGGCTGCAGACTCCTGCCCTGTGGTCTTGTTTACCATCTTCCTATTGCCTGTTCCTAGCGGAGTAAAAGCTGGGTTTGTTGGATGACTGAGTGAACTAATCCATTTCAAGAAGTTAACACGCTGGTGGAAACTCTGTAACTACCCGCGCCTGCAGTCTAGAGATTCCTCACCTTCACAAAGAACCTGCGGCAGCCAGTCCCCAGGCTTAAGCGGAAACCCTACAATCTCTGAAATTGTAGGTGGGAATAAGGGGGTTGGAGAACAGGAACTGAAGGAAGTGAGAGGGAAAGGGAGGTAGGGGCAGCGTTACCTCACTACTCTCTCCAGACGAAAAGGTGTAAACCCCATTTACAAGTATTCAAACCTGAGATCTGGGGGTCACGTGAGGAAGGAGAGGCTGTTAATACCTAGAACTTTGAAAGTGTGAAGTGGAGACTTGATCTGAAATTGTGTGGCCACAGTTTTTTTCTACGAGCCAGCCCGACCACCCAAGCAAGAGCCTCGATGCCCAAGAGTTAGGTGGCACTACTGGGGCCTAATGGGAGGGCAGGAAAACTCCGCTCCCCTCAAGATCCCTTCCCGGTGGCGGTGGGGGGGTAAGGTGATTGGGGGCGGCGGGCAGCTGCATCCTCCTACCGCTGCAACGATCGCGACATCGTTCGTCTTTCACCCTCTAGCCCCCAAGGTCTAGTTATCTCCGGTTGCTCTTTCGAGGTCCCCTCTCGTTTCCCAAACGCAGGAGAGAACGGAGACAGGGGACGAGGGTGTGGGTTTAACCACAAACTCCCCAGACGTCGCTCACCTTCCAGCTCACTCCCGGGACAAGCTTTGCGCCCCACCGCGGGCAGCTCCCACCACGAGATAACACCCCTGTGGCCCGGCCACCCCGCGCCCCCATGCCCTGCCAAGCGTCCCGGGCCGCAGTTGGCGTTGCCAGCGTCTGCCGAAGTCATCTACAGGGCTCCCGGAGCGCCGAGGCGGCCTCCAACCTCGGGCCCGACTCCCCGGCTGGGACGGGGCTTACCTGCTTACATGGCCCCCGTGGCGCCCTGGAGTCCTGCGCGGAAAGGCTGTCCTTCGCGACGGCGGCGGAGCCCCAATTCCCCACGGAATTGATTCCAGTGGCTGGCGGCGGAGGGAAGGAGCCGCAGGCGGCGAAAGGGGAGGAAGGTTTCCGCCGCGATCCCGGAGCGAGAGTCGGAGCAGGGGCGCACTGGGGGAGAAAAGGAGAAAAACCTCGGCACGGGGTGTCCCGCCCGAGGAGGCCGGGGAGGATGGCTCAGCTGGGAGGGGAAGGACCGCCAGTGGCCACTTGGTGTCTGTCTACGGCTCCCCGAGGACCTGAACCAGGAGAGGAGGCGGCCGAGCTCCGAGGAGCACAGCAACCTGCCCCCGAGTCTGCGCCCGCTGCCCTCGCTCGGCGGAGAAAAAGTTGGGAAGAACTTCGAGGGGCCGGGAGCGCCAGAGCGGCAGGAAATGCGAGCGGCCGGGAGAGGAGGGAGGAAGGGGCCGTGCGAGTGGGAGGGGACGGAGCAGGCGCCGGCGGCCGCGGTTAGCCCACCCCAGAGCCGGGCTCGGCGGCGCTGGGGGCCTGGAGGCGGAGGGAGCGCGGGGCGCGCGGCCGGGGGCGGGGAGGAATGCGGCCCGGGAGGGCGCGCGCCGGGGGCGCCGCGGGCGCGCGCTGAAACGTGGAGCCCGAGCTCCCGAGCTCCCGAGCTCCCGAGCTGGAGGCGCGCCGTCCTTGGGGACGTCACAGCGCTGGAATCCGAGGAATGCCGGGCAGCAGGAGCTCCTTCTGCAGGCCCGGGAGAAGTCGCGCACTTTTAATGGGGTAGCTTTGGAAAATGTTTTCAAAGGTGGGGGCCGAGGACGGAGGACCGGGTGAAATACCCTGGAGTGAGGGACGTGGAAGTGGAGAGGGCAAGGCAACCGCAGCCACCCTAACCTTGCGCGGCTCCCGCCGTGGGGGAGAAAGAGGCAAGGAAAGGAAGATCCCACCGACTTCCGAGGACCGCAGAGACGGGGCGGCGGCAGGAACTTGCCCACCCCGACCTAGATCAAGGACAGCCGACCTTGTATTGGGGAACTCTCCAAGCAGGACTCCTCATGCAGCCACCCCACAGGGGAAAACAGACCAGGAGAAAGTAAGGTGGCCTCACGGAGTAGGCAGTCTCAGAGATCTCTCCCCAGAACCTCCGGGTACTGAACCTGGTGTCTTAGCCTTCTCTCCCTGCCCCTTGCCACCCCCCAGGAATTATAAAAAGCAGCCTGTGTGCTGAGAGTTGGAAAATGTCTTTCTCCCGGTTTGTTCCATGCCACAGAATCGCCCCACCCTGCCTGGGTAGGCACTGGGAGGGAACTTCCTTAGCACTTTCGGAGGTGGAGTTAGTGAGACGCAGCTGGTAAGATGGAAAAGGCTCGGTTCCAGGGTACTGAACCTGGGTGTTAGGCCCTGCCCGATTGGATAACTGAGGAGTATGTCCCAGCCCCTGAGATCCTAGGTTTCTGTAGCTGTAAAATTAAAGTATTTGTCTAGATTTCCGTGATCCTTTGCATTGCTGCAAACATGTCTTGGGATTTGTTCGCTGGGACCCAAATCCAGTCCTTTGTTGAAAATGGACCTTGAAGTCGTTGTCACAGAATGTATTGTCCGAAATCAGTTCAGTGTCCGGCAACTCATGGAAAAATTCCTGGACTCTTAGGGAAGAGAATTGGAAATCAAAAAAGCAAAGCCTTATCGTACCCACCATGTACAAATCTGTACCGACGGGTCGGGCGCGTTGGCTCACGCCTGTAACCCCAGCATTTTGGGAGGCCCAGGCGGGCTGATTGCCTGAGCTCAGGAGTTCCAGACCAGCCTGGGCAACAAGGTGAAATCCCGTCTCTACTAAAATACAAAAAAATTAGCCAGGCGTGGAGGCGGGCGCCTGTAGTCCCAGCTGCTCAGAAGGCTGAGGCAGGAGAATTGCTTGAACCTGAAAGGCAGAGGTTACAGTGAGCCGAGATCGCGCTATTGCACTCCAGCCTGGGTGACAGATCAAGACTCCGTCTAAAAAAAAAAAAAAAAATCTGTACTGAGTCTGAATTCTTCGAGCATCTGCCATTCTCTGGAACTACAAAGAATAAGAGAAGATTCAGAGCGCAATGCAAAAGTGATGGAAAGAAAAGGTTGAAGGGAAATCAGCTTTCTCATATTTTTAAGGAAATAGCTGTACAGATGTGCTGGGTTTCCAAAGGAAACATAAGGCAGTGCCCGACTGTGTTCCAGGAAGTGTGGAAAGCACTCCTCCCATTCCTAGGTGAGGAAAGTGGGGGCATGAAGAAATGACCTATCTCACTGAGTGTCATACAGCTAGGAAGATATGATCGGGCCCTCGTCTGTCCCGCCAAAAGTACATGCAAACAGGATTAGGATTAAAGATAAGAAGATGCCTTCAGGTTTTCTCTTTTTTTTTTTTTTTTTTTTTTTTTGAGACGGAGTTTCGCTCTTGTTACCCAGGCTGGAGTGCAATGGCGCGATCTCGGCTCACCGCAACCTCCGCCTCCTGGGTTCAGGCAATTCTCCTGCCTCAGCCTCCTGAGCAGCTGGGATTACAGGCACGCGCCACCATGCCCAGCTAATTTTTTGTATTTTTAGTAGAGACGGGGTTTCACCGTGTTGACCAGGATGGTCTCGATCTGTTGACCTCGTGATCCACCCACCTCGGCCTCCCAAAGTGCTGGGATTACAGGCGTGAGCCACCGCGCCTGGCCAGGTTTTCAATGTAAAACTCCGGCTTTTGCTCTTTCCTGGGAGATGAGAGGCCCCTTGCTTGGTGCCTTTTCTAGTGGAAAGACTCTAGGAAATATATTTTGTTGCTCTAGCATCACTTGCTACTAAACTGAGCACAGCACGCTGAGGCTGTTGTGGCATAAAAGAAGCAAAGGACTTGCGCGCAAACACAAGAGCTCCGGTTCTGCCTCTGACCAGCCTGGGACACTGATCAAGCCACTTCACCTCTATACCTGAATTTATTTTCTAAGTGGAGTGTGGCATAGAGGGCAGAACTTGGTTGGATTAGTTCATCTCTGAGGTCTTTCCCAGGTCTAAACTTGCATGAAAGTACACTCCTCCAGATAGATGGTATGGCTATGGAGGAAACTAAGCAATAAAGCCAGTGGATAAAGCCAGTATCTGGGGACAGGACTGTTTTCCCATCGCCTTCAGATAAAAACGAACGTTGAAACTCGAATGAATGTAGCTGAGTGTTCAATGATAAGCAAAGCTAAGATTTAGCGCTAACCCTGTGGATGCAGTTTAAAAATGTAGATAATTTTGCTTTTAGAAAGGCAGTCTGGGCAACATGTCGAAACCCGAGCTCTACAAAAATACAAAAATTAGCCAGGCATGGTAGCTCGAGTCTTGCAGTCCCAGCTGCTAGTGGGGCTGAGGTGGGAGAATTGCATGGGCCCGGGAGGTCGAGGCTGCAGTGAGCTAAGATCACACCACTGCACTCCAGTCTGGGTGACAGAGTGAGATCCTCTCCTGAAAAAGAAAAAAAATATGTTATTAATTTAATAGCCTATAAAGTATATCTGACCAGCCATATTTCTTTTTCTTTAGAATAGATCACAGAAAGGCAATACAAATAAGAATATTTTCTAAATAGAAAGTACAACTTGAAGTGACGAAAAACTTTCATTTTCTGAATAAATCTATAAAAGCTAGTCACAAGCTTCTTTCAAAAAAGAAAAAAAGCAACCCCCATTTCCTAAATCTATGTCACACTCAAGTCTCCTTACACTACATCAGGATGAAAAGGAATTTGACTGATGGAATAGGTCCTGAACACATCATTACATGTTTGCTTTAAAGCTTTGCAATTGTAAGAACTTGTCAATATTATATTTCTCAAAGCAATTACCAACTT